AATTTGTGCCAATTTCAAAGCGGTTTTGACCATACCTTTTTCTATCCAAAGTAAAAAAATATGTTTTAGATATATTTTAACATCTACCAAGGCCCTTTTTAATCTCCTGCATAACAGATAATTGTAAAAAAATTTGATTTTATATCCTAATTTTAGTGTGTTTTTATGTATACCGTATTTTGCGGTCCATAAGACGCACCGGACCATAGGACGCAGGGAGGTCCGGCGCGCCTTATGGAGCACTCGACAGACTGTAGCTTCTGTCACAGCTTCTATGACAGAAGCTGTGACAGAAGCTGCAGTTAGTGACCGCTGAGACAGGTGGTGCTGTGATTACAGCGCCACGGTCTCAGTGATCACAAAGAGCAGACGAAGAACGTCCGTTCTTCGTCTGCTCTATGGTGATCTCGATCGTCGCCGCTGCTCGGTTTTAATACGAGTGATCTCATTAGATCACTCGTATTAAACGAGCAATGGCTCCTACTGCTGAACGCGATCGCTGCCGCCGCTGCTCGGCTTTAATACGAGTGATCTCATTAGATCACTCGTATTAAACTAACAGTGGCTCCTACTACTCGCCCGGCGCCCGAAACTGCATGTCTCGGGCGTAGGGATTCGCTCCATAAGACGCAGGCACATTTTCCCCCTCCTTTTGCGGGGAAAAAAGTGCGTCTTATGGAGCGAAAAATACGGTATATATATTTTTTTTTTGTTTTTTGCCCAAAGCTTTAATACACTTAAAGTGAGCACTGATAAAAGGTTTAGGAAGCATTATTTATTATATATTGTAATCATTGCTTTGATTGCGTACACTTCTTTTTTTTTTTTTTAGATTATTCTGTGGTGGCTATTACACTGATCTCCCATTGGGGTTTCAGTAAGCAGATATCTGGAATGTATTGTTAGGTTTTATAAGTTCATATAAAAAGGGGTTAGCTTAAGGTTAAAGTATTTGTTAAAAAATCATATGGAATCTGCATGCAAAAGAAGATTCCTCACTTTGCCCCATTGAAGGGCTGCAGCCTCCAGCAAATTTTCAGCACCTTCTGGGGCATCTGTCAAATGTCTGCTCCAGCCATCAGCTATGGTTTCTCTGCTGGGCCACTGTGTTACAGGACACGGTAACATAGGAGAAAAGGCAATCCAGAACACTTAGAAGTGTGTCAGATGCTGGAGATTTTGCTTGAGACTATACCTCAACTGATCAAAGTGAGGACTTGCAGTCTGCCAAAAATGTGGGCAGTCTTCTTTGCAGGGCTTGGAAAATCCACTCGTCTGCTCATCTGTGACATGAAGACGCCGGACCGGCCGGGAGCTTTACATTCAAGCGATCGGGCGTCTCAAGAGAGACTTGTATTAGGTGTGGTTTTACCCCCCTCCAGCCCCACTTACATCACTTCCGTATTCAGCTGTTATTCCCAGCTACAGAAGCTGGGGAGAAGCTGGTGAAACAGATCTCTGCTTCATCAGCTTCTCTGGGGGTCCGGTCCCTAGGTGACGGATCTTGGAGACACCTGATGTCTCCATAAAGAGGACCTGTCATGTAAATTGGCTATCACATAGGGAGCTTCTTAGCCCCCTTTGTGATAGCAATAAAGTTAAGTATAAAAGTATTAAAGAAGCATTAAAAAAAAACACAAGTCCCCTGCCCCCCGCATACACATGCAAACATGCGTCGGGTGCGCCTACGTGCGAAAACGCCGATTGTGCCGCACAGGTTACAAATCACCGCGAACGTCTGAGTGAAAGCAATCATTTTAGGGCCATTAATCACTGATGACACTAAACCGATGAGCAGTAAAAGCGTTCAAAGCATCGCCTATGGCCAATTTTTGATGTGGCCGCTTTTCTTGCGAGCACGCACAATTTTAAGGCTAGACATGTTTAGTGTCTATTTACCCGACGTGACCCCGTCTTTTATAGTTTACCAAAAATATGGGTAAGTATAAATGTGGGGGATTTCCACCCCCCCGGAATTTACTGTACTTTTTTCATTATATACTAAAAAATACCCCCCCATTGGTGATTAAATACCACCAAAAGAAAGCTCCTATGTGTTTTCAAGGCTATAGTCTGGTCATGCTGACTGGTGAAGTTTTTGACTGACTGGTGAGACCCCCCTAAAAAATTTTCAAGCCCTGCTTATTTGAATGTGTGAATCTGTTTTTCTCATGACTGTCTTGTGTCCATTGACCGCTAAATGGGTAAAGTGACAGTGTCTCTTTAAGGATTAGGTTTATGGGTTGAGTTAAAGGTTATATTTTATGCTTTGCATGAGTTGTGTGATCAATTAGTTTCTTGCGCATGATGGATTTATGACTAATATTCCAGTGCAAAAAACTTAATGTACTGGATTGGTTTGCTGTAATAGGCTTTTCTTTCAGATATATAATGGCATTATGTGATGTAGTTTGTTAAATAAGATTTTATTATTTTTTCTCTTTAAAGGTATGAAGTTAACTTTCAGAGCGGAATCGAGTGTGGTGGAGCATATGTAAAGCTGCTGTCCAAGACACCTGACCAGAACCTGGTTAGTTTATTGATTTCCATATTGTAATTGTGGTTCCAGTTCTTAAATTCAAAGGAACAATAAATCGGTTGATTACACCTTCAATCATATCTAGATGATTAAAAACGTTGGCGTCATTGAAACAAGTGTTTATTTTTTATTTGTTTTTTGGAAAAAGACAGTTTTAACCATTATTTTGTGTATATATTCCGACCATTTTACATGCGTTTTCTACAAATTAATCTGGCCAGATGTGTTTTTGTTTACATGTAGAAGCATGCAGTCTTTAACCATCTGCATGGCAGCAGTTGTTTCAAATTACACTTTATTACACTGAAAATAAATGCAATTACAGTGCAGACTGATTTGCTTGTGTTTTTAATGAGGCTTTGACAAGGATAGTGATCATTTCTCAGAAAATTAGTGGGTAGGCACAGAAGACGTATGGGGTATAGGCTCCATCTCTGGAAATATGGATACTATATGGAAAAAAGCAGAAGTATCTGCACCTCTCCTGTGGGCTATAGAAAGGAAGAGAGCTCTGTTGTAGCTTTATGTCCTAGGAGCTGGAACATCTTCACCTTGACAAGGATTTTTTTTTGTATTATAAGGCAGATGGTCCATATTGCTTTATATAGCACATAAAAACATGTACAGAAGTTTGCCTCAGTAGGGCAATAGCATAATACTGAAGACAATTAAAGCATATGTATACCTTTTTAAAGTGACACTGAGCTTGGGAGTCAAATCTTAAAGCATTCTAGTGCCTTAACTATTAACAAAAATGTAACTTATTTGTGTATCACTCGGCTGTAGATCCCCAAATCATCTGTGAATTCATGCTGACACTGTCCTTCCTTCTCGAAGGTGGCTGCTTTTGTTCCCCATGGTCCCTGTGTGTGTTGTAAAGTAGTCGCCACTCCAAGCCCACTCCCGTGATGGACTATAATCTACTAATTTGTATTGAAGTTATGGCCCATCTTTGGAGAGAGTGTTCGGAGTGGTGGCTACTTCACAACACACACAAGGCCCATCGGGGAACATAAGTAGCCACCCTCTGGAAGGAAGGACAGTGTCAGCACCAATTCAGCACAATACAGAGATGATTTGAGGATCTACAGTCGAGTAATACACAAACCAGCTACATTTTGATAATAGTTAATTTCAGTGCATTTTTAGAATTTAACTTCCTGAGTTTAGTGTCACTTTATCTGGTTTTGGCCTGTCTATGTCCTGGTGACCATTGTCACAGAAAAAGTGATGGGAAATCCAAAATGCTGTCACCCACAACAAGAAACAAGTGTTCTTCCGATGGGGACATGTTACGGTGACGATTGTCTGACTAATTTACACCTCTTTTAGAGATTTCTTTCTGTTGTCGCCAGGACAGGAAGTGAAGGGTAATATCCCCAAGAAGACTGGACTAGTTTGAACTGTGCCTACACTACCCAAAACCTTAAACATATATTTGCATATACATATGCTTTATCTACCAGTATGTAGGTCCTTGATGGTGTCTCTGGTGGGAGTTGAACGCAAGACATAATGCTTTCCACTAGGAGTAAGAAAACTACAGAAGCGTTTTACTTGATGTCAGTTTTGCTCTAAATTGATTTGTTCCCTCAGGATCTGTTCCATGATAAAACACCTTACACCATCATGTTTGGTCCTGACAAGTGTGGAGAAGATTACAAGCTACACTTCATCTTCCGTCACAAAAACCTTAAGACTGGAGAATATGAGGAGAAACATGCAAAGAGACCTGACACCGACCTGAAATCCTACTTCTCAGACAAGAGAACACATCTCTACACACTAGGTAGGTGTGCTTCCTTTGACGGTGAATATTAGCCAGTTATTTGTCGTATATCACAGGACACAGGGAGTTAAATTCTTTAACCACTGGGTTTGCAGCTGCCTTCAGGTAATTGGACGATGGCATATCAGTCAAAGCTGCTGAACAGCCGTGCATAACCTCTCCCACACCCAGCCTGCCTCAGTTTTTTCTTTGTCATTTTTGCTGGTGTCCTCAGGTGATAAACGTCTTCTCTCGGCTCAGAAAAGTACTCCTTTTTTTTTTTTTTTGCACTTTTTTTTTACTGATAACTCGCACAGCTTTAAACACTTCCAGCGGGATCACGTAAATACAAGTCATCCACTGGAAGTGGTTATACTTCAGCCACTGACCACCAATAGGGGGTGTAGTTAAATCGCACTGCAACTAAGCACCAGTGCAGGAGAGGGTTAACAATACTGACTACCAATGTGGCTGGCCCTCTAAAAGTTTCGGTTTGACCACCACTGCTTTATAAGATGTGATTTTTAAAAGAAAATGTATTTTTTTCTCTTTTAGTCTTGAATCCTGATAACAGCTTTGAAGTCCTGATTGATCAAACTGTGGTAAACACTGGGAACCTGCTAACAGATGTGAACCCCCCTGTCAATCCACCCAGTGAGATTGAGGACCCAGATGACAAGAAGCCTGAAGACTGGGACGAGAAGCCAAAAATACCCGACCCTGATGCTGTCAAACCTGATGACTGGTAAGTAGTAGTAGATCAAAATGGGGCATCTCTTAATGCAACTATTTTGGATTTTTTTATTATATTGGTTTTAGGTCTGTTCTGTTTAATTTCTTTTAAGTTTACAAGTTCTGAAATGGATGTTAATAAAAAATTAGAGAAGGAACCTGCCCTGTTTTTTGCAAAGGCAGAGCCCAGGAGTTTCAGCTTCCATTGTGAGGCGACACATGATGCATAGGCAGACTTGACTGTTGTACAATTATTCAATGTCCTTTTTGACCTTGTTTTTAAAATGCATGTAAATCTTTTACAAAAAAAATCCCATGACACGTCAATACACACGGCTATGCGTCATTGTGTGTTCTGTTTTTTTTATGCAAGCAGTAAGTGCCTTAATTTGACCTGCTATTAACCTCTTTTAGTCCCAGCACAACACAGCTGAGACTGGGAAAGGGAGGAGCAGAACATGGAACCAGTTGTGCTCATGTGCTGGTTTGCTAGCAAGGAACATGTTAATAGGAGGAGAGAGGAGTGATGGAAAAATGAGCTCATTAATGTGCTGCTTTCCCTTTCACTTTCCCAACCCAGGCAGGGGGAAGGACAAGACCTATAATTATTTACAGCAAAGAAAAATGAGGTCTCCTGCCCTGGGGCTTACTGAATGGAAGAGCACTATAAATCTTATAACCGGATAGACAAAAAAAGACCAAATCCTTTGGCGGGTAAAACACTTCCCATATGTGTATTTAATCTGTTTATTTGGCGGTTTGTGTGGAGTTCAGTTTAGGAAAATCCCAGGAATAGAAAATCTGAGGTGGTTATTAGCTCTGTAAATGGTGATTTTCTCACTAAAACAGTGAAAGCTGATCACCAGCCTTCCCTTAAGTCTTGAACAGCTGAACAGGCTCCTCTCCTGTACTGAAATTGCTTACTCTGATTCACTGCATAGTGTGAGCTTCTTAGAATCTGCGTTTGAAGCCGCAACAAGCCAGACAGAGCCCACCTCATTTGCTGGCTGCAGGATGTCCAGCATCATACAACCCTTTCCTCATCAGCTTTACTATTGCTGGCCTGCCACTTTCATTCATTAGATTTCAGTCATTGAGGCTCAGCATCACGTGTGTTACTTAGGGGAAGTCTGCTTGCAAATGCAGCTTGTCCTAGGAATGCCCACTCCTCCTCCATCATGGCATTGATGGTTATATAACTCCTCCCAAGAGCCAAACCCACTGCTTGTTTCCGGGTTTCTCTTCTAATTGTGAAATGTCGCTCTAGGGATGAGGATGCCCCAGCAAAGATCCCTGACGAGAATGCAGTAAAGCCTGAGGGTTGGATGGATGATGAACCTGAGTACATTGCCGACCCTGATGCAGAAAAGCCTGAAGATTGGTAGGTGGCGTTAATTTCAGTGTGCCCTGTTTTCACACTTGTGCTATGTCTGTTTGAGTGTCCACTATTGCTGTCTAACAGGGATGAGGATATGGATGGAGAATGGGAGGCACCTCAAGTGGCAAACCCCAAATGCGAGTCTGCGTCTGGCTGTGGAGTCTGGCAACGCCCCACAATTGACAACCCTAACTACAAAGGAAAATGGAAGGCACCAATGATTGACAACCCCAGTTACCAGGTCTGTATGTTGACAAAAGTTTTTACCTTTTTTATGTGCTCCAATTCTTGCACAGTTTTGGGATCTTGCCAGATTTTGTGTGTGGCTACCTGTACATTTTGGTACGAATGAGTGAATATGCTTCTTAAATAGTTGAAAAAATGTTTACTCTGGTCACAGTATTTGGCACTGCTTGCTGATCGGGGGCTAGGAATGGCACTCCAGTTCAGCTATTTTAGTTTTTACGCAAGGCCCAAAATGTTTTATGTTTTGAAATTTGTGGACATAAAGAGAACTTTGCTTAGAATGGACAAACTGCTGCAGGTGTGACGTTTAAGACACCTAGATGTACCTGTAGCAACCTTCCAAATCTTCTGTCAGCCAAATACCAGGCATTTCTGATGATAGCCTTGGAGCTTGCCGCTGAGACCCACTTCACAGGCTAGTAAGAATTTACAAAAGGCAGGAAGAGCCTGCCAGAAAAGCCTGAGATTCAGCTGTGATGGGAATGTTTTAGGTTCTTTTTCCAAGTGTTTGAGAAAGGCATTGTATGAATCCATTTATATTTCCCCATAGTAAGCTCTCTGATTCAGACCTGCGCTGCAGATTGGCAATAACAGACTGAATCTGTGAATCTGTATGCTGTGGGGTTATAACATAAGGTGCTGTGAAACTTCTTTTTAATTTAGTTATTTTCCTCCATACTGACCAGCATTACTTATGTTCACTGCAGGGTATCTGGAAACCACGCAAGATCCAAAATCCAGATTACTTTGAAGATCTCGAGCCCTTCAAGATGACTCCATTTTTCGCTATTGGTCTGGAACTGTGGTCCATGACTTCTGATATCTTCTTTGACAACTTCATTGTGTGTAGTGACAGAGCTGTGGCTGAGGATTGGGCAAATGCTGGCTGGGGCTTGAAGAAGGCAGCTGACGGAGCTGCAGAGGTACATACCCTTTCTGCTTTTAGAGATTTACTGGCAAATGTATGACTGCTCTGGGCACAGGATGGCTCATTGTGGTGAAAGTCATTGAACACTGGGTGATTTGGAGGGTAGTGAATAGACCGGGATCAGCATTATATTGGCTTATAATGTAGAATACATCTTAGTAAAACACTCATTTCTTCATGAAAGCTGCTGTTTAGAGAGAGCCCCCTGGTATGTGTCACCTAATCTAGTCATGACTTGGACACCAGTACCCTATTATTGTTTGGTGGCACAGTAAGGGGTCAGGAGAATGCATCAATCAAAACTAACATGGGATCCATTACTGCTCATGTCATTAAAGCAGAGTTGGGGCTTGTTTATACAAAATTTTAGTTAAAGAATTATGGCTCATATACTCGGCTGCCAATCAAGTGATGGTTTTCATTTTCCAACCCATGCAAAAAAAACAGGCCTGGAATCTGATTGGTTGCTGTGGGCAGTAGATTGCTGCTTTGTGCATTAATTAACCAATGCCCTGCCTGGTCCCTTGCATTCCTCGACCTGAATGTTTGAGGTTTTTGAAAATGTAAAATGGTTCCCTGCTATGGATGACTTGAATGATTAGCTTTAGAAATATGTAATTGTCCATCATATATTCATACCAACGGCTTTTTCTTCCAGCCCAGTGTAGTGGGTCAAATGATGTCTGCAGCTGAGGAGAGGCCTTGGCTCTGGATTGTCTACATTCTGACAGTGGCTTTGCCAGTGTTCCTGGTCATTCTGTTCTGCTGCTCAGGCAAGGTAAGCACAAGATCTTTTTCTCAACATTGAATGTGTCACTATGTGCTCGACAATATTATTCTTCATGGATTTTGATGTCGGATCTGTCTCCAATATTTGTCCTTTTTACCAAACCTTTGTTACTGCAAAGCTAGAAAACTATGGTCTGCAATGTTTATATTTGTTATCCACTATTCATGGAAACTTGCCTCTTAACTTTATTAGGTGTCAGGTCTATATAAGGGTCATCTTAATGTGGACAGCATATCATTAATTGTAATCTTTCACAAATGATGTCAGTGGCATGTGTGTGGGGTTTTTGTTTTTTGGGGTTTTTGTTTAACAGCAGCTCTTGATCACGCCCCAACCGTGTGCACTTTTAATGCACGTGTTGAGGTGCATTAACTCAATTGAAATAAATGGGTTGAAATGCACAGCAATGCACGTGAAAGTAGGGCAGGCTTCATTTTATTGCAGCATAGTGCACCATACACTGCCATACTGCGTTAGTGCACATGCTTTTTGGGCTATGTTCACGGTGGTTCATTAGTGGTAACACAATGCACCAGTTCACACATTGGCGTGCACGTAATCGCAATGCGGTGGCACAAATGGGCCCTAAATGTATATATCTGAGATTCAAGGAAATTGCCTTGAATTTTCTAAATGTCTTATAAGAGGATTTGCTGTGTGTAGTTATTGTAGAGGGTAATGAGAACCATTTGACTTATAATTAACCTCTTGGCCCATGTTGATGTTTTTTTTTGTTTTTGTTTTTTTTTGTCCTTGAATTGGCTATTCCAGAAACAGCCAGCAGATGCAAGGCACAAGAAAACCGATGCTCCCCAGCCTGACGTGAAGGAGGAGGAGGAGGAAGAAGAGGAGGAGAAGGAGACCAACAAAGAAGCAGAGGAAGAAAAAAACGAGGAGCCAGTTGAGGAGCAGAGTGAGTTTTAGCTGACAAACCTAAACTGATGTTGCATATTTGTGTTCTAGATGTGTCGCAGCAGCAGCCACAGACCTCCTATATAGTTGTGGTCTGTCCCTGCATACCAGAAACTGGAATCGTTTTGTTTGGACCAACTTTTAGTAATTGAGATTTTAAACTGGGGTACCCTGCAATAAGAAACTATCTGGGGTGGACTGTTCCCCAGATTCCCAGGCAGTGGGTCTACTATTTAGTGTTCTTGTCACATACACTTATCGGAGAAGGGGTTCTGTGGGTTACTTTCAGACGGCTAATTAAACATGCAGGAAAGCAAAGCAGGTGTTCTCATTGGGCAGTATACATGATCAAGGCAAACTAAATATGGCTGAAAAGGCAAGCCACTATATAATTCACACAAACCTAAATCAAAGCGCATGTACACATGACCACATCGCATGATTATGTGTACAAAATACTTCTTGCATGCCATGTGTATGTAAAAATTGTTTATGTAAGATTAAAGAGAGACTGTTTTTTGACACACTCTTATTACTTTTCAGTGAAATAAACATACAGTCATACAACCTATAATTGATATTGACTGTGCACAGTAATAGGTTGATTTACAATAGGCAATCTACTCTTCTCCTGGCACAAAGCCGAATACATATTTGAAATGCATATTTGCTCATCTAGTTCTCACACACACATTATTTCACCTTGGACCACAGCATCCACTCACCTAGGTGCTGGTTGCAGTGCTGGAGCTCATTCTTATTAGATCTGGGATCCTTAGAAAGTTTGGCTGGCTATTAGCTGACCATCTGACTCCAGCCACTAGCTTTGAACATGTATGCAGATTAGTTAAGTCAGAATTCCTTATCTTGTATTTGTCAAAGACTCAAAAAGTAAGAGTCGGCATCACAGCGAAACAAGCATTTTTTTTTAAAGGAAAGGTCTGTTTCTCACAGGTGAGGTTTTCGCTAATGTTTTATTTGTTTTACAGCGGGTGAAGATGTGGGAGATGCTGGACATGGAAGCCAGGAAGAAGAAGAAGAAGAAGAGGAGGAGGAGGAGGAAGAGGTGGCGGAGGAGCAGCAAGATCCCACAACTAAGGTAGGCCTCCAGTAACATGTATTTTAATAAGATAAACCCAACGGGATGAGTTTTAATACAAATGACTAGTCATGTATAGCTATTAAATTGAGCTGTGTTATTCTATTTGAATGAGTGCAGCAAAATGTAAACTTTGAGTCACTGGGCTTCTCAGTTGGGCTGTATAGACAAATCTGGGCTATATATTCCAGGTTTTTTTCGAATTGGATCCTGGCATGAGCCTGTGATAATTGATGGGTAATGTCAGAGAGAATTTGTTAAAAGATAAACATCGCTTGTTTATTCGGCACATAGGATTCAGATGTTCTGTTTCTGGCAATAGTCCAAGAACGCAGATGTAAGATCACCAAACTAATCTCTCTATGTTATACATAATTTACTATATAACTGTGTAAACCTGCATGATGCCAGACATTTGAATACAGCTTTTTTCCTGCAATTTACTGCTTACAGTTGGAAATGAAGTTCTCGGTGAACAGCCTTAACTCGGCCTTTCAGATAAAAATAATAAAATCGCTAGTATGGAAGCTCTTGTATGACCTGAGCCTAACGTGAAAGGTGTTTTTATGAGAATGCCCCACTAGGTGGCACTGTTGGTGGCTTAGAATACTTGCCATAGTACCTTTTATGAAGCAATGCAGACTAATATCTTTAACTGCACATGTAGTCTAGGCCTTGGAATTTCCAAAATAAACTGTGCTCTTGTGTGGCTTCTCAGCATAGTCATAATGGCACGCATTAAAAGAAACCTGAGAAATATGGGTGCTGCGTTGCAGACCTCATTCTGAAAATGCTAGTTGTCTGGCTTTCTTTTAGCCGCAGTACTTCAGGTCACTGATGAGAAGTAAAGCATTCTGATTAAAAGTGTCACTGTTCTGAGCCACATTTGTCGTGCATGCTGCTTTTGCATTACCGTGCATTGTTTTGGTCATTTGAAATGCACTGTTCCACACTTGTCAGACTTCTCAATGTAAACAAGGCACAGATCACATCTCCGCTACACATGTGGAAGCTATTAACATGGCTCATATTATAGCTTTTTTTTTTTAACCCAGTTTAAAATATATGTAAACCCAATCACTAAACGATCTTAAGCTTTAACATGGTAATGTCACTTTGAAAGTTGTTTCAATTTCGTTCTTGTCCATGAATGGTAGAGGTCTTTCACCTTTTAGGTTATACTACCACCTTCAGGTTGTAGACTTGCAAACAAACAAAAAAAACTTGAAGGCCACCCCAGGATAAGCCCTTACACTGCTAGCATGCTTCAGTTTTTTCAGCGTCCCAAGGGATGAACATCCTTTATTCACCTCTGCTGTTAAGACTACCCTTTTTTGTTGCCAACACTTTCTTCATTTCTTTAATCAAGACTCTTCTATATAAATGTTAAAGATGGTTTCTTTGATCATGGCTATCCAGAGCACCCTTTCCTTAGCCTAGCTTATGAAGTGCGGCGTCCCTGCTTGACTAGACTTTACGGCGCTAGCTTTGAAGTGACCTTTGGGCACAGAGTCCAATGTAAGGCGCTTTCCAGACCCTGTTCTGGTAATAAGTTAGCCATGGAAGCCTGGACATAGCCTCACGATTTGTTCTATCTCACTGGTGTGTAGGCAGATTGTGCTGGGCACCAGGAGCCATTTAATTTGTTCTTTTTGCTGGGCACATTTTAGAATTCATACTTTCTGCTGGTTTCTCCCACAGAAGGGTTAATGCTGAGGGGCAAAGCACTGACATCCACTGGGTGCAGGGTCTTGCCCACCCTTTCAGCATTGAGGAAGTATATCCCCATTGTTGCTCCTGCATTGCTAAGTGCCCCATAAAATGCTGGTCCTGCTGCCCGCCTTAAGGGACATTGTTTACCTTCATTTAGGTGACCCTTACCTGCTACCAACTGTCTGGGTTTCTTGAGTGCCTGAGACCTTGCCTTATACCCTGAGCTTAAGTTGCCTTACTGCTATGTGGCTGCAACATGTTTTTATCTAGCAACAGGACATTTCTTCTGTGCCTTCTGCTGGTGCCGACCTCTGCAGTCCTGTCTACCATGTGATTTATAGGGTCTACCTCGTCCTTGGAGTCCTCCCTAGATTCGCTGGGTGAGGCAGTGGCATGTCTTGTTGGCTAGGGTCTATACTACAGTCATGCTAGATTTTGTCACTCAGTTCCTGACTG